CTTGTTTTATGATACTTTGTTCCAAGCTATCAATGCTCGGTCGGCAGACTCGTGCTCTGATTGATCGGGGTTTTTCGTTAATATCTCGTTAACAAAGCCTCGGATAACAATTTGCTAAGGAAAAACTTGTTTCAAATCACGAGTCTCCCATTTCCGGGTCCTCCAACATTTTTGTTACAACCGATATACCCGAATTGTAACCGAAAATTACGTGACGATCCGATGACACTTCGACGATCAGAAATGAATAGGACGTCATAAATCTAATTCCAGATCAGCGTATCCGTTGAGTTAACCATCACCACCGCAGGAATAACGAATTCTAGGTGAATCGGACTCGGATAACGGATAACGAGTCCGTTGGATCGTGTTCGGCGGTACGTCTTGCCTCCAAAACCGCAAATCACGGGGGTTGAGGGGAGGCACGTGAGGCGATGCAACGAGGTAGAGGGGAGAGATCACCGCGAGTCGACGGGCCCAGCCGACTTAAAAAATGTGCACGGGCGAGCAAAACCGCGCTATGATTCAATTACGGGGTATCCGGCATCACGAGCACGTGTAAATCAAGATAAATCGCGGTGTACAGGACTGGGCCCCGGTTCGACGATGTTCCGATACCGCTGCCGGATAGCAATCAAATTGTCAGACCGCTCTGAGTGCGAATCCCGCTTCTTCTCTGCTCTAAATATACGAGGGGACCATCCCTTCTGATGATCGTTCATCCCTTCCACGCGAGTAGATCGTCCGGAAAACGGGAATATCGACGACACGTGTAAAGGATAATATATTATTGGTATTGAATGGAAATGTTGCTTCTAGGGCTTATGTTTGATGGTACAATGTGGAGCTTAAAGTACGGGCTAATTGTTATTAATTGTAATTAATTTAGGATGCTGGTTCACCCTCAAACATCACACCAGTACGTTTTGAAATTTACCATTTCTTTATATAACAAAATTTCATAGAACTTCTGGGAAATTTTACCCTAAAAATATGAATTCAATATTGCTTCTATACTTTTCAAGTTCTTAAACATAAAAAATTAAAATCCTAATTCACGCTAGTGTGCTGTTTACGTATGTTGAGGTGGGGTCTGGTTTCTGAGGGTTAAGAATGTTTCCTGGTAAGAATAAACCGTGATCTGCTTGGAAGATTGCACTGTGGCAGTTTAGGACACCCAGTATGTTTGTTATTGCGAGCAAATGGTATCTAATATCGCTGAAGTTATATTCTAGCTCGGCTGAATTACGATTCCTGCAGATTGTACTGTCCGAAGTGTAATGTTCGGATAAGAGTCCATTCTTTTGCAGATGAAAGAGAAGACATTGCGAAGTTTGTCATTGGATCAAGGGAATTCAGCGGTATTCGCAGCTTGCTCGAGAAAATTAAAAATTTATTTCGATTGTTTTGAATGTTCCAACATATTTTGTATACCGTGAGTGACAAATGGTCCCACAGTATCCGGAAGTAGAACTCGAATATTCAGATTAATGTTATAATAGAACATGCAAAATAAAGTTATTACAACCTGTGCTTAATTCTATAATAAATTTTTATCACGCTACCGGGAATCTGAAATTTAAAGCATCTTCATGATTCTTATTAGACGATGACCCGCTTAATAGGCCATACCTCCAATTCATTGCGATACATTATGCAGTTGCCTCGCATTATTAGAGAGCGCCACGCTAATTGCAACGAGCACGTTGACTTTCAAATTCCACAGCGGTATTTATTAGTACACGAAGAGACTAATTTTCACGTTTTCCCGGAATTGTTGGCTAACAATATTTCCCATATTCGAACCATGGAAATCGTGTAGTGCGAAATTTATCTACGATTCCGATCTCGTCTTCGCTGCTACAAACTTTTCAATTACATCTTTTGAATTTTACATTAAAAACCATTGATCTTTCCACTAATAAAACGTTTTTTCATCCGAATCCGTAAACCATCCAAAAACTTTTGCTCCGATTTCGAGTCCTCATTCTCCTTTTTTTTCTTACGATTTCAATCTTTCGATTGGGCTCGAGGCATTTTAGATCGATTAAAGGAAAATTGCAAAGACCAGCGACGAAATTTCATCGTAATATTTATGGTGATTGATTCACTCGCGACCGTACCACCTTTATGTCTCTTAAATGAACCGGAAAGGGTACGAGGCACTCGCGAGAGAAAGGGGGGAAAAGGTCGAAATGGAGAGAGAGAGGGTACGCATTACGCTGGCTGACGCAGATCAATTGCGAAAGAAGCTTCCTCGCCTCATTAAGATCCTCCACGCAATCAGACACGCGGCCACAATAGCACGTGCACAGAGGAACGTTGGACGCCATTGCTCGAACAAAACCACCGTAGTATCGACACTTCTGCCGAAGCTGAAGTTAAATTACAGTTTTAACTCGATCTCTGACGTAACTAGATCACTTTTGACCCATCATAAATAAAAATTATTTTTACAAGAATTAAGAAATGAATACTTATATTTATCGACACAAATTCAAAGTTACACAGTGATTTACCTAGTTCAGTTTATTTAAAGATCGGGTGGAAGTTGACCCTATATTCTCTACGTGAACCTGTGAGACGTCGTATAACTTTTGAAATAATATAATAAATAAATGTTATGGAATCGTATTCTACAGTTTCGTTCTAGAATCGGTGCAATCACTTGACTTTCATCTATATCTACCGGAAACAGCCAATCAGAATTATAGCTTCTTCCTATTAACAATAGAAGATCCATTACAGCGCGATAAAAATCGTGCGGCGTACTTGTTCAGCTTTCGAATACGGAAACAATCCAATTTTCCGGTTGTAATTCTAACACCAGGAACCGAAATCGCGATAAACGTGCTTCTCCCCCAATTACGAATTGAATAACTGTAGAATATGTCTCGAGTCAAGATCCGTTCCACTGAATCATTGTCTAAGGAAAATCATCCCGTGGCGTCTGCGCGCGGAGCTGATATCGCTTCGATCTAAAGAACTTTCGAATTAATACTGGAGTAATTGTGAATCTAATTAGAAGTTAAGAAAACAGTAAGCTGAAGAATACCTATCTGTCGTTATGACTTCATTTCTGTATGGAATTCGTTCGACCATTACGTCACATTGGAAAATTTTAATCGATTTAATTGATACTCCATTGTAGAACACACTGGTCTGTCAGGAATCTAGGAAGGTATATGAATGATTCAGGTTGAATCAGGATCCCACAATGTGCAACCATTCAGGAAATTTACTCATTTTTTTTTATAAATCACACGTTAAGAATGAAATGTATTTCAAGGAACATGTGTAATACGGTGACCTCCATCGATTTTATTCCTGTTCCTTCTTCTATGATCGATTCAGTGATCCTCGGAGAAGCGAGAGAAATTTTTAATGAATCGGAAACTATGAAATTAGACTTATTCAAGAAAGTTGCGGTTACAGCAAGGTTTTGGTAAAAGTTGCTCGTTAATTTGATTACATGTCGCGTTCGTTACACGAAAATAAATTAAACATTGCGAGCGAGATTTAATTCCAGAAAGTTACCTAACATACTGACCTCCTTCCTTATTATACCTAATTATTTCTATCCTAATTATTTATTTCATATGTATATTCTTACTGGAAAGTATCCTTTGTTTTCAGGAAAATTTCTTCAGGTGAAACAATTGATAAAATTAATTTACAAAACCATGAATGGCTGAATATCCTTCTCTAATATTTACTCAAGATTTCTAATTTCTATTATAAAACTATTACTTCATTTCCAAGTACAAGATTAATAAGATCTTAAATTTGAAGTGAAATTCACATCGAGAATGAATAAAATTCCAGAGATAAAAATCAATAAGTTTCACTCGTTATTTTAACGAAACTTAACATTTCTCCAGCTGCATAATTTTATTCGAAAACCAATCACATTTTCAATGAAATACAATATAACTGTTAACCTGGAAATACCGTGTTCTCTTCTTACACCCCAAAACTTCTTTCAAATATACCCCAGAATTCGATGTGTCTGTGAAAAAAATTCCCGCAAAATCGATCGTTATCGATTAATTGCTGATCGGAAGCCGGTGCAGCAGAGAAAGTTCCTTCCGTGTTTCGAAAGCACAATTCTTCACCTCATTCGTGGCGATATTAACATAAGAAATTGATACCTGTGTCCCGTTTACGTGTATAACCGAGCGAATCCGCTACTTTGTCCTCCTCGCGCATTAATCGTCGTGTAATTACGCGGGTCTCGTTGACGAGCCTGTTATTAACGAACATTAATTGATCGAATGAATTGATCAACGGCTGGGAGAGGAGAGATCGTTCTTCGTGTCTCGAATCGGTGAGAAACAACGATCGTCTATGAGATATCACGGAATAATATCGTTCTCCTATGGAAAGAGACGACACAAGGAGTAACTGCAACAGCCTGCTATAATTTTCCTACGATTTTCACAAACATAATTTCAAGAATCTCGATCAAAAAGTCGAACAACATTCGCCAACGTTCACAAACATTCACAAACACGTTCAAACATCCATAAGAATGCACAAGCACAACCACAGCTAACGATTTTTTAAACGATTACCCAATATAAATTGACAAATTAGAAGGGAACAATAAATGCTTATATATATTAATTGCTAAATATCAAGTTTGACAGATTGCACTCACGCAGATTCCAAAAAGAAAAAAAAATTAAAACGTACATTCGTCCGTACCAAAACGATCGAATATTGACGAACCCGAATTTAGGTTTCGCGTCAACGCGACTCAAGTCGTAATGTCGTTCGACATGCGACTTAACTGCGCACAAAACATCGATGAACAAAACCTGTAAAACAGTTTAGAGCCACGTGTGCATAGTAATATTGAAACTTACACATGTCATTTAATGACCTAGTAGGTCTCGTAAGTAATTTGTCAAACATAATTCTCGCTTCGACGATTACGCAACGAGTTTGGTCACCTTGCGGTTTCGACTATATAAACACGTCCAAGTTCTGTGGCCAGCATGTTCAATTTCGTGGAACAATCGTACCAAAATGAAACTCCTGCTGGTCTTTTCGCTGTGACTGCCCTCGCCGTTTCAGTGGAATGTAGTCTTGTATCGGAAGTCGCGGAGGAAGTCGCGAAAGAGGCTGTTGAGCAAGGCGTTGGCGATGCAGTAGCTAGAAATGTTATACAGCCACTCGTAGAAAAAGTTATGCACAAATACCATATTCGTATACTCGACAAGAAAGACGGAGGAGCGCAAAATTCCACGGGCGTAATCAAACAAGTCGCAGAGACGAAGTAGAAAAAGGATCCAACGAAAACTAGGAAAGGGAGGTTCCTTTGGACGGACTGATCGACTTCCTGGACAGCCTTAATGATTACTGATGATTGACGCTTGGTTATGAATAATTAAATATTCCAGTATGAGGGAAGTAGACACCCTGGTTAAAATTACTGTATAATCAGTATTAACGATAAGTTGTAATTCTAACAACAGGAATTGGTGGTGACATTGTAAAATATTCTGCTTTATCTTATACTATATGTAGTTAATAAAAATCACATTTTGCTTGCACTAAATGGTGGTTCGTGTTTATCGCAAGTACCGAATTGTATTTCCCATTCCTCGAAAGTGTCGTCGAATAAGCTACAGGAATACTAAACAGTTTATTATTACGACAGATTCTTGATTACTAAAGAATACATGTAACAAATTAGTGAATAATAAACTACAATTTACATGTATGTTTAGCAAAATGAAACTAGAATAATTGTCTTGTATTCGTGAATTCGTCGGTAGAATAAGTAGAAACGGTGAGTAATAAACAGACACGTCAGTCGAGTTCGACTTATTGTTGGTAGCTCGTAAACGGAACAAGTATTCAACGACATTGTTATGGGTTGAACCACTAATGATGAATTACTTAGAACATCCGCAACTTATTGACAGGGTCAAGGGACTTATCAGAAGCCCTATCACAACTTGCTACCAACTGCAACAGCCTGCCGTAATTCCCTTACGACCCTTCCGAACGTGGTCCAATCGAATCGAACTTCAAGTCGACACCGTAATGATGCTGTGTGCGCGTACAAAATTTTTATACAGACAGTATTGAATCTGTAATCACTGTGTTGTAGATTGATATCGAAATAGATCGAATAAAACACGGCGGAACGTGGCGATTCTTGCAACGTGATGTAAATAATTTTCACATAATCATTCTACGTTATTGTACCAAAGAGCAATAAATAGCAACATGGTAATGACATATGGGACATTATCTTATCTAATAACAAGCATTCTTTGTGTTTAGCACTACATAAACGTACGTTCCGCGAACAGCAGAAGCATACTTCTTCTTCGTACTTACACGCCGCCAGTATGAAGCTCCAGTTCGTTCTAACACTTATTGTCCTCGTGTCGGCGGTGCAATGCAAAGTTCACACTTCGGTCGTAGACACTGACATTGGCCCGACTCGAGGTAGATTTTTCTATACTTATTACCAATTGAAGAAGTATTCCGGATTCTTCGGGCTCCCCTATGCGAAGTCACCCATTGGCGACCTCAGATTCGCGGTAACTAACATCATAATTATTTATGAAGTTATTCAAGTCCTAATTTCGTTTAATGTTAGCGTTATAAGTTATAATTTATAACCTTCCAGTAGACATGCAACACTTTGCCAATCGTTCTAAATGTTAAAATGTCAAATACTTCTTTTTACAGCTGTTGAATAACTTGAGAACAACAATGTTTAGTTGTGAGATTTCTTTAATTTAAGATGCCAGGACGTCTTTAAATATCTGCCTGAAATACAACAGATCTCTTTTGTGATGACCATAAATGACGACACCACTTACCGATATTGATTAATTTTGCAAATTGATTAAATTTGTCATCGTAAGTCACTGCTTCATTTCGATCACCATAGGATCCTGTGGAACATCCAGGATGGACTGACGTATTCAATGCAACAGAAACCGGCCCGATATGCCCGCAATACGTACTATCCGGAATCTTTGGACAGGAAGATTGTTTAACTCTGAACGTGTACACACCTGCGGTAATTCTATCTGCATTATATTTATGTAATACTATTCACTATTTCACGATTGTACAGTTCAAACACAATCGTAAAAAAATGATTCGCCTAGTGCGGTTGGCCAGTGGCAGTGGAACCACTACGGTGTAATACCGGTATTTTACGTTTATTTCTACCGTATTTCTTTTACGTTGAATTCCGGGATATAGAGTATATTTACAAATTTCTGTCGAATTTTCGTACTTGCTTGGCGTACTGTTACGACAGTCCCATCCGGTTTAAGTATCCTTAAACTTCGGTAGGTGGAGTTCCCGCATCGTGATAAGCTTTATCCAGTGATGGTATGGATCTACGGCGGTGGATTCATATTTGGAACAAACATTAAAGACATATACGGACCAGATTTACTGATAGAAGAAAACGTAGTGGTCGTCATTATGAACTATCGCATGAGCGCCTTAGGTATCGGAAGACTATCAGAATCCTTTCTATAGTCTTTGCTCGATGAAAACCTAAAAAATACTAACGGGCTATTTATTTAGGATTCTTTTCGCTCGGAGTGGACGGTGCCGATGGCAATCAAGGTTTAAAGGATCAGGCTCTCGCTTTGAAATGGGTGCAGAAACACATTGACAAATTCGGCGGCGATCCTAACCAGGTGACAGTATTCGGCGAGAGCTCCGGTGCTGCCTGTGTTGGATATCATTTAATATCACCATTATCAAGAGGTAAGTGATGTCGAAATTTTTCTAGATTTTAGAATTTAAGAGCAGATTCCAGGATTTATGAAGTATTAGGAATCGTTTGTTGCTTGTAGAAAATTCCTATTATCGAGTTTAAAAACGATAAGTCCCGAAGTAAAAGTGCCAGCCCATATTCAGGCCACCTCCTGTACTTAATCCAAAGTATAGTAAAATCACTGCATCCCCGTTTCGCTACCATCGAATCGTCTTTTTTGCAGGCCTGTTCAGTAAAGCGATCCTTCAAAGTGGATCACCTTTATGCACATGGGCGTACCAGACAAAGACAGATGCTCATCTCAAAGCCCGTGAATTAGCCAGAATTTTGGAGATTTATGATACGGATCCCTCGGAGATACTGTCAAAGCTGAAGGAAGTGAACATGACGAAATTAATGACAGCCGCAGCGACAATGCTTGTTCAGGTATTGTTACCGTTACGAACTTGCATTTAAACGTACTGATTTAATACAGGGCTAACATTGAAAAATAAAAGATAGTGACGTTTCATGGAGTCATCTGTTTGTTCCAGATCACCCCGTTCTTACCAACGGTGGAATCTGTCAATCCAGAACGCGCGATCATTACTGATTGTCCCTCGTCGTATTTCGAATCCGGCAATGTCGCACCTGTCCCTATATTGATGGGCTACAATCAAGATGAAGCTATGCTCTTCACGTCAGGTAAGCACGAATAATTTCCAATCAATTTTGTGAGATTCCATTAATTTCTTCCGTACTTCGAGTACGGCATTTTTTACCGTTTTGTGTTAAGTTTCAATCCTCAGTGGGATCGAATCTCTCTTTGCTTTTATCGATCTGTCCTAACAATTATATTTTCCACCTTCAGTTCTTGATGATTTGCGACAAATATTGGTTAATACTTTAATCGTGCCTGCCTCGACGGCGGGCTTGGACGTGGTGGGTAACATCGGTCAGATCAAAAACTTCATGTTTGATGCATCCTACAAGAAGCTGACAGATGTAAGTAATCTTCTGATCAGGATTATCCTGTCTTACTATATAATTCCCTCACAATCAGCCTCCAAAGCAGTTCTGCTGACTTCTCTTACGATTTTCAGATAGCTTCAAGCTTCTTCTTTGAATCACCCATAGATTTGACACAACAATTGTTAGCTAAACGTGGCGATGAATATCCCGTATTCTACTATAAATTGCGGTATTCGGCACCGGACAATCTGCACATACTAGTCGATCCTTTGATGAATGGTAACACTTTTAAGCATTTTAACGGAGAAACACACTCTCCTCGGAAGCAACTGTTTCAGGGAGACCCTCGTGACACACCACTTTTATTATAAATATGTTTTAGGAACTTCTCACGGTGACGACGTCTTTTTATTCTTCCATGCAAACCTTATCTCAACGATTTCTCCCGATAATGACATTACTATACAACGCAAGAAATTTGTCAAGTTGTGGACGACCTTCGCTAAACAAGGGTAAGTAGAGACAATTTGGTAAATAAAATAAGTATGCCACTGCTGAATTGTGGTGCGTAAAATGACTAACAGAAGGACCATAGATTTCAAACTATAAACGTTTCAATGCTTTGTTCACAGGAACCCTACAAATCCACCTGATCAATTTAGTAGTAATTGGGAGAATTCAGGATCAGAGGGAAAGCAGATGCTACTTGATCCTGATAATTTCCACATGGTACCTCGTCAGATTAGCACGGAAAGTGTAACTCTCGTACAGAAGCCATACCACTCGATTCTACCCGCCTTACAGGCCTGCGAGAGCTCTATTGTTAGCAAGTTGAATTTTGTTTAATGAACTAATTTGAAACGGTCTTCTCTGAGACATGAGTTATAATAAAAATAATCTTATATTATATTTAATATGGCCCCACGTATATTGTTGTAACTCTTTCCTTCTATTTGAACATTAATAAATATCCGATTAATCATTACCATGTATAGTAATCTATAATATTAAATACTAACCAATTTTAATACTAACCAAATTAATACTAATTTAATACTAACCAATAAATACAAACTGAATTAATTCGCCTCGCGGCAAAGTTGTTACACTAAAAAAAAGACATTTTACGTTATTATATAATCACGTGACGCACACAAATCATTATACTTACAAATGACAGTTACGACAATACAGTCACCTGACGTATCGGGTTTAAAACTATATAAATTACAGTGACGAACTGTAAATTAGGTTTCGACCGACAAGCAACTGTTCGTCAACTATTTTATTTCTTTATTTTATCTCCGTAAGAAATGGGTTTTCTTTGATAAACAGATGACCGCTTTATTTGACGTGTTCGAGTATTTATTGTCTAATTCGCATATATTTCAACACACCAAATGACTGATCAGTCAAAACCAGAGAAATGCGCATTAAATATTAAATTAATGTACAAACACTGTTAAAGATATGCTATTTATAAAATAAATTTCTTACTACTTGTGTCCTGTAGCTTTCTAAAACATTACCGTGATTAAACCTCTGTAAGAATAAGCGTAAATTAACCTCTCAAGAACCAGCAGTCGATTTGATCGTTCAAAAAGTCCCTTATAGGTAACCGTTTGTAAAATCTCGATCGAAACGGATCTATCGGATAACATTCGTCAACGTTCCCAAACATTCATAAACACGTTCAAACATCCGTAAGAATGCACGAGCGCAACCACTGCTAAAGATTTTTTAAACGATTACCCAATATAAATTGACAGATTAGAGGGGAACAATAAATGCTTATATATATTAATTGCTAAATATCAAGTTTGACAGATTGCACTCACGCAGATTCCAAAAAGAAAAAAAAATTAAAACGTACATTCGTCTGTACCAGAACGATCGAACATTGACGAACCCCAGATGTATGCAAAATAGAATCCGTGAATTTAGGACTTGCGGACTACGCACAAAACATCGATGAACAAAACCTGTAAAACAGTTTTAAGCCACGTGTGCATAGTAATATTGAAACTGACACATGTCGTTTAATGACTTAGTAGGTCTCGTAAGTAATTTGTCAAACATAATTCTCGCTTCGACGATTACGCAACGAGTCTGGTCACCTTGCGGTTTCGACTATATATACAAGTCCAAGTTCTGTGACCAGTATGTTCAATTTTGTGGAACAATCGTACCAAAATGAAACTCCTGCTGGTCTTTTCGCTGTGACTGCCCTCGCCGTTTCAGTGGAATGTAGTCTTGTATCGGAAGTCGCGGAGGAAGTCGCGAAAGAGGCTGTTGAGCAAGGCGTTGGCGATGCAGTAGCTAAAAATGTTATACAGCCACTCGTAGAAAAAGTTATGCACAAATACCATATTCGTATACTCGACAAGAAAGACGGAGGAGCGCAAAATTCCACGGGCGTAATCAAACAAGTCGCAGAGACGAAGTAGAAAAAGGATCCAACGAAAACTAGGAAAGGGAGGTTCCTTTGGACGGACTGATCGACTTCCTGGACAGCCTTAATGATTACTGATGATTGTCGCTTGGTTATGAATAATTAAATATTCCAGTATGAGGGAAGTAGACACCCTGGTTAAAATTACTGTATAATCAGTATTAACGATAAGTTGTAATTCTAACAACAGGAATTGGTGGTGACATTGTAAAATATTCAGCTTTATCTTATATTGTATGTAGTTAATAAAAATCACATTTTGCTTGCACTAAATGGTGGTTCGTATTTATTGCAAGATAACACGATATTCGAAAACTTTTACACTTTGAATACTTGAAAGTAGATATAAAATTTTGTAAGATAGTAAGGCACTTTGAATATTTCAATAATATGTATAAATGTGTATGAATACGCGACTAACACAATAAATCCCTCGCCTTTATTCCATTCCTATCACCGAAACAAATACATATAGAATTGAAGTCTCCTTATACCTCCTACCCTCAGCTTCCAAAACTTTATCTAACACTAAAAATAGCAGCTAATTTAAAAAAATTGCCACTGATTCTTAAAAAACCAACAGGGCTTAGAACATTCCAGTGAGCTATTCAAATGGTTATATTTTTGCCAAGTTCCTGCCCGTTCCAGCGGCTCACTGAAGTATCCCAAGTCCCACCTACTACTGCATTCACGTAAACATTCGTACGTCTAATCGTAACAAACGCAGGCGATAAATTCAGTGAACCTCGTTACCATTCTGCTCCTGTCAAGGGTAGCATCCTTTTTTCCCCCCTGGTACACCCGGTAGATCTGTCCGATGCTCGTATCGGTCGAGATAAATAATTACGTAGGTAAACTCTTCCTGCCGCGATAAATCTGCGTGTTTAGAGCCGGGGACCGTGCCTCTGCGTTCATTGTGTCGTCGTCGGTTCTGCGGCCGTGGTATCGGCAACAATTTCTTCCAAGTCCCCAGACCTGGTCCCTCGGTGTTCGCGTTTCCGTATTCACGGAAACCGAGCCAGACACACCGATATACGTGCGTTTAAACAAAAGCTTCCCCCCTTTCGATCCACGGCTTATTAAAGAAACGAACGATCACCGGCGATAATTCGTAACAATAGGCGAGAAACCCCCATTGTACATTGTTCCGATACCCTATCACGTTTATCATCCGATTGATTTAGGTGGCGGACGGGATAGATCAACGACGAAAAAATTAACGTCGCACCGTTTTAACGACGACGAAAATCCCCCTCCCTCCCGGCCGGAAGCGTGTCGAACGCGAAAACAATTCGTTTCGCGGAAGCGTTTCATGGGCCTTTTGTTACTTTCTTCGTTCGCTTAACGAGCCACGATTTATTGCCCGACCATCCTACGGGACGTCTGCGTTCCCGAGGTCTCCTGAGATCATCACACGTTAATTTGCTCCAATTCGCGAAAAATTAGGATTCCGACACTTTCTACGGATCGATTCCGTTGATATAGTAGGTGTACCAGGAAACGTGATCAGTTTGGATTATTCTACTGGTAGCTGTTCGATCGAATAGTTTTTCGCATGCTTAACCATCGGTGCAAACGTCATGAATAGGACGAATCTGTCATTTCTTAACTGTTTACGAGGTATTGCAGCTAATGGACAGCATTTTGAACATCGTTTTAATTAAGGTGAATGATATTTTCTTAATGTTTCTCTGGTTTAGAAAAAACAAATTTTTTTTATTATTGATGCTTGCTGAATTCGTCCTAGTATCCGCTAAAAGATGGGCGTAAAAAATTATAAGTTTATCTATAAAAAAAAATGTTCGATCGAGCAGCTAGCAGTAGAATCTTCTAAGCTGATCACGTTTCGTGGTTCACCCTGTATACTTAGTGCTTCTATTGTATCGAACCAATAAATTCCTATATTCCTTATAAATAAACTGTGAAAGTTTATGTAATTTACAAGTTTCGCAGACCAGTTCGGTAAATCTAGCAAGTAATAAAAATCTTTCTCCCCTACTACGAGTATAATTTCTATTATAAAACACAACATAAATACGATTACATCATACAAGAGTTTTCCATTTCACGTGTATCACGAATGCGTAATCGCTCTAATTATAGGTTCATGGGAAAAGTACTGCTCCATTATGAATTATGTAACGTTTAACCGTTAATTGTGCGATAAATAAATAATCTTTCGCTTGGACGCGGATATATGGTTCCCAGAAGTGCCACAGAAATTTTATAGTTTCCTTAAAATAATAGAAGATCCTCCTCATAGATCTTCCCCGGTACACAAACAATATTTTTCTTATCATTGCACCTCGACTCGTTTCAACTCAACGAAGAATAAATTAGCAGCCCCAGCGCGCTTCGGGTATTTCCCCTGCCATAAACACGAGTGAAACTGAATGGACCATCAAATAAAGCGTTATCGATTAAAGGTTAACTAGAATCGGCCGCAGAGTTTACGATCCCGCCCCGAAAACAGAGTGTAGTCGCGTGGTAGCGGTCTCACGAAGTAAAGAAAGATCGTAATCGATCTCGTAGATATACCCTCCGCGACTCGTGATAGTTTACTACGGTATGTCGCGGGGATCTATGTACACACAGAAGCCAACTAAGGAACGAAGTGTTTCAATTTATCGTCACTGCCAGATACTCTCTTCTGTACAGTTACTCGTGTGAACGCGGACTCTAATAACATTATAAATAAAGATACGAATCTACGGTGCGCGAGCACTCGCGCTTCTTCACCCCGAGCTGTTTCTTCGCTCGAACGATACGGTGTCCATTTACCATAGACATGGTAGATATTCCCCTCCTCTCCCTGCTGGATGATCAACTGACAATTAACTGACTCTCTGAAATGCTTATGAAGTATTCTTCATTATCATCGTGCCGCTAGCTTCCTACAGGCAGGACCCTCGCGCTAATGATCATTCTTTTTCGATATCTGCACACAAAGATCTCGTCGAGAGATTGAATTATCAATTGGATACGGAAGTTCTGTTCGTTTCATGGTAATACGGTGGTAGTTATGTTAGGTGCACCGATAAGTAATTCACTACACAGTTCCAATACGTGGGCAATCCATTTTAGACTCGAAATGAGTGCAATCGTCAGAATATCTTTTCGAGCTGGGTAATGCTGGGAACGAATAAGGAATATTGTTAACCATTTGCACTCGGAATTTTTTAATTCCTCATACTTTTTGTCCCTTCAGAGGAGACAATCGAGGGCGAAGAGTTAAAATATGATAGGTATTTGAATTATTTTCGACACTACAAATACAGAGTTTTACAAAAAATAGTGGATTACTTACTGATACACCTAATAGTAACAACATAATTCCTGTACAGCTTTATTGAAATATTATAGGTGTATCACTATATATTTTGTCAAAGTCAATGCTTATTTTCGAAGAAGTTAGAAGCCTCTGTGCTGTTTCAGTGATATTTGATCTCGTTCCTACAATGT